CAGGCCGGGAAATCTTACACTCATCCAGGCCACACAGAAAAAAAGTGCCCAAAATCGCAGCTTTTGGGGTACAACAGCTTGTCACTGGAGCAGTACTCTTAAAAGGACATCTTTGTACCTTTTTTACCCCTAATAGGTAGGCTAGTACTTTAAGGGTACGAATTACTACTCTAAGGTACTAATATGTACCTATTAGGGGTAAAAAAGGAACAAAGATTTCCTTTTAAGGGTACTGTTCCAGTGACAAGATGTTGTACCCCAAAAGCTGTGATTTTGGGCACTTTTTTTGCATATAGCCTATATATATCCACAACAATTTCTGAAACCACAGACAACCCTATTATTTGTATGGCCATCACATAAAAAGGTCTAAATCCTTAGTCTGGGGCCGTGGAAAATATTTAAAGTGCACCATTTCACCTCCCTTTCCCTTTTCTTCATTTTCCCAAATAATTTTTTTTCTTACCTGTCACTTCTTCACCAGCAGGTCTACTGTTATGAACAGAACTGTGTCCACCTTGTTGAAAACAACCAACTCATTTCTTCAATTTGTTAGCACAGAATGTTATTTATCTTAAAATGACTTAAATACCCTAGATTGAACAAACCTATGTTTCATACAAATATACACTAAATCCAGAAGAACTGTGGCAACGTCACCAGAATGTTCAGTTTCTTGCACAGGCCAATCGTTTCGCTTCATAAGACCTCAATATATTGTCAGAAGTCACAGGTATTGATTTTGTGTTGCCTGATTTGCTTTTTTGACTCTCAAAGTGCCTTTAGCCATTGACTTGCATTTTATGAATCACCAAAGAGCTAAAAACCTTCTTTACTGTTCAACTGAAGAAAAAGTCACCTACATCTTTGATGGCCTGAGGGTGAGTAAATTAACAGTGATTTTTCATTTTTGGATGGACTGTCCATTTCAATGCTGTTTACTTTCATATGTATGTTACCCATATATCAGTTAGAAGTGTATTCTTACAATTAAGAAACCACTACAATGTTTTGTTTTAGTTTTTATTAGGCTGTCATAAACTTGCACTGTAATGTAAAAAAACTATTATATGAAGTTCTGTCAGGACCATTATCATCAAAATGTTTGACACTTAGCACACAGTTTAGATTGGCGGTATGGTTCTGTTCTGGGCAAAAACTCCCTGTCATGAATGAGCACGGAGAGCAGCAATAACCCCCTTAGAATAAACAGAACAGAAAAAAATGGAGATATCATTAATGTCCTTAGTGATATTTTAGTGTAACAACATTATTCAAGATAAAAGGAGTCTGATTCAACAAGAATATCAGAAAGCCAAGTCCTGACTGTGGTGAAAGGAGGAGTTGGGGATGGAGGAGGGTAATTTACTCCTGATCAAATTATTTCTGTGATCAAAGCTGAATTTTCAGCATCATTACTCCAGTCTTCAGTGTCACATGATCTTCAGAAATCTACATTTACATTTACATTTAGTCATTTAGCAGATGCTTTTATCCAAAGTGACTTACAAAAAAGATGTAACTATGTAATTAGGGTTAGGGTTAGGGTTAGGGTTAGGCTCATAAACCAGTAACACTTTAGAAAACGGGTCCATGACTAATGAATAATCACACAGGAACAAATGAGTAATGCAATATTAAGACTTTAGTAACTAATATTAAGTAACAAGAATCTCTGATTAATGAATTAGTCATTTATAGTGCTTAGTCCAATGTGGTAGTTCACTATTAGCTAATCACTAATATTTTTTCATACTTCCCACAGAACTACTAAGAACTACTGCATAAAGGTTCATAATTAATATGAACCTATCTATGTAGCAGTATGCATCATTAATTCTAGATTAAGAAGTATGTGTAGAGTATTTATCATTAATTCTAATGTGAAGGTCATGGTAACCAACCAGTAATGACTCAAGTGTATTATCAAATCCTTTAGAAGGGATTACCAATTATTTGGAACAGTATTCTAAAGTGAAGATCATGATAACTCTGTAGTAATGACTGAATCATTTTAAACTTTTGAGGTTTTTGTAATAGAATACTTAACTAAAGAAGAATACTGGTGGAATGATCTTCCAAGCACAATCCAGAATGCCGAATCCTTGACAATATTTAAGCGACAGCTGAAAACTCATCTCTTGCATCAACATTTGACTGCATCCTCCTACTACTAGTAGTACCAGAAATAAATAAATAAATAAACTTTGCTTTCACTGTTCCTCAATCCCTCCCTGTTCTACTAATCTGAACAATGTCTGAAACTTTGTATTAAAAGCACTTCCTGTGTTTATTTGCCTCTTTATGGAATTATTTAAGTGTCTGTCCTGGTGTATTAGTGACAAACAGCACAGGTCATTGTGTCACTCACAGTGTCATATACAAGCCAGTCTCTGTCTCTCATTAAATCTGCACCAATAGTCCAGGAGTCACATAGAGGACAGGCTTCAAAAGTTTGGAGTTGGCAAGAATTTTAAATGTTCTCCAAGGCTGCATTTATTTGATCAAAAATCCAGTAAAAACTGTGAAATATTATTACAATTTAAATATCTGTTTTCTATGTGAATATCTGTAAATGTCACGATGTGCCTACTGTGTAGGAACGAGGAGCGCAGAGACGACGGAGGATATCACAAAGAACAATCTTTATTAAACCAAATAAAGACTCACAGGAAGGAACACACACGTAGCACAGGGAATTGACGTTTAAGACTGGACGCAGGACTCAGGAAAACACAGGGCTTAAATACAGGAACTAAATGGGGAACACCTGGAATCAATTGGATATAATCAAACACGGGAGAAACTCAGTCATGGGGAGTATATGGGGAGCAAAACACAAGACACGGAACACAGGGGCAGTCCAAGGGCATGACATTACCTCCCCCTCCCGGAAGATGTGTCCACGTGCCTCATAACTTCCAACGAACAGGGGGGGTGGGCGCTCTAGAGGCCTCTAGGGACAGGCTTACATGGGACAGACGGCCTCCAGGGCGGTACCCGTTCCGGGACCCATGACAGATCGGGCAGTCCAGGGAGCCGTGGCGGAGCAGACAGTTCGGGGGGGGCCGTGGCGGAGCAGACAGTTCAGGGGGGGCCGTGGCGGAGCAGACAGTTCGGGGGAGCCGTGG